GCAATTAAGTGATTTGTCAAATGCACAAATCTCTTTTGTAAGTCAAGAATGGATTCTCCGGGCTGCATTCGAAATAGTTCATATTCTTGACTCAAGGTATTTAGCCTTGATCTTTTTACTTCAGCCGTTCCTTCATGAGTTTGAACCAAGGTATCCCAAATTTCCTTTGCTGTTTTGCAGTTTGAGACACGGAAAAATTCGTCCATACTGAGAGCACCTTGAAGAAGGTTTATTGCCTTTTTGTCATAGAGAACTTTCTTTTTATCATCGTCGTCCCATACAGTTTTGGGCTTTGCAGACCCAACGCCATTGATTACCGTTATTGGGATAAATGGACCATTTTCAACAGCATCCCATACTTCCTCTCCTTGTGCTTCTAAATGCGCCTTCATGCGTATTTTCCAAAAGTCAAAATATTCACCACAAAATAGAGGAGGCTTGTTGTTACTACCACCATCTCTGAAAACTGGTTGATGATTTGCGGAAGCCATTCTGGATCTCTAGGAGCAGGTTACCTATAACCTGCTCTGATACCAATTGTAAGATTAAGATTGCGCCTAAGAGGGGGGGTGAATTAGGTGATGGTCGATTTTTGACTTATTTTATACTTTCTGGTTTTGATTTAGTGCTTTGAAAACTGTAAAGTGCAGAAAGTAAAGAGACACGGAGAATTATCCTGGTTCCTTCCACAACCCGGAAGTACGTCCAGTCCCCTTGCAAACACGCAAGAGATTTTACTATATTGTTAGAACTTTTACAAGACTCTTCCTAGTCTTATCCACTAAAGAACCTAACAAATAACCAAGAACACCCTCTTGGATTTCCAATAAGTCTAATGAGAACAATCCTCTCAAAAGATACCTCTTGTTTCCAATAATGGACAACAAGGAACAAAAGTAATCTAATACTTAATTCCAACAATCCTGGAAATAAGTTACACTTTGTATGTTTTTATGAAGTATGATTTCTTGAAAGATGTTGATCACTTAGAGTGACTTCTTTGAAGTTTCTTCTTTCTTCTCTTGTAAGCAATTCAAACTGTAACACAATGGTTAGATAATGCTCAAAGATTTTCTGTTCTTTATATGTGTGAAAGTGCAGAAAATCTTTGTTCTTAAAAGTTAAGAAATATGAAGTTTGAATATTTTACAAAGTTCAGATTTTTTTGCTAGAGAAGAGTTTTTTTTTATGATTTGAAAATATTTTGTAATATATAGTAATCAAGATATCTTTCCAGAAGGACACTTTTCTGTTTGTGAAACTTGACAAGATGCAATGTTTGATCATGCAACTATTGGAGAAAAGGTATGAAGGATATCTTGAAACCAGTTCAGATTTTTCAAAGTTTTCAATGTGCAAATCGATTAACATAACATGCAAATCGATTGCACGTGTTTGTAACGTTCAGAATTTCAAAAAGTTTGAAGTGTAAATCGATTAGCATGTAGTGTCAATCGATTTACAAGTGTTAAAAAATCAGTTTGTTCTGTGATCAATCGATTTACACAACCTGTAAATCGATTGCTGGCAGGAGCAAACAGTTTTTGAAAAAGCATGTGTAAATCGATTTACACAAGATGTTAATCGATTTACAGCAGAGAAAAACTTAAAAATTGTTTTGAAATATAATTGAAGTGATGTGGCAAGTGTGTATATCATTTTTGAGCATTTCTAATCAATGTAGTTTAATTGAGAATTGATATACTTGATTGCTTGCCAAGTTCCTTGAAGCTTTGAGTGAATGATGCTTTAAGATGATTTCCACTTCTTTTCCTTCTTTCCATAATGCTTGTTTGTCTTTCATCAAACTAGCTTGTTTGTCTTTCATCAAAACTAAAGTTAAGTTGAGGCTTGAGATTACAACTTCAAGAGGGTATGACCTTAAAACCCATGCAAGCCTTAAACCTAAGGTCTTGGTATGATTTGCTTGTGCTTTCTATATATGTAATTTCTTAGTATAATCATGACATTATAACATGGTATGATACAGTGGCAGAACCGACTGCTAATACTGGTTTGCATTTTATGTTTTTTGTTCGCAAAATGTCGCGGTAAGCAAGAGTCGCCACCGACTTTTATTTCATCCAATCAGGAAAAGAAAAAAGAACAGAAAAAACCTTTTTCGAGAATATTTCTGAGTACGGGGGGTAGATTATAGAAAGGGAAGGTGTTAGCACCCTTTCTATCCATCGTTTTCCATGGGCTCTTAGGTACTTGCTCATTTTAAAATTGCTTGTGTATGTGCTTGTCTTGAAAAAGTTTACTTCGTGATAACCCTTGTATCAGTCCTCAAGAATGTGACGAAGTTGTTTTGAAAATTGTTTTGAAAGGTGTTGGTGTGAAAAAATTATTTGTTTGAGCAAGTACTTAAAAGTTAATCTACCTACTCGATAAAGGCTATTCGTTTTCCTTTAGACAGCGTTATCCCATTATTAAGGAATGGGCAGCACCGTTGTTGGAATTTTAAGGGACGTTCGAAAGGACATGTACGATCACAAAAGTAATGTTAGGAGGTGTTAGTAATCATCCTAAAGCCTTAAAGATTTGTTTCCGAGGCAACATCCGAATGAGTCATTTGAGATCTTTCGGGGCTAGAGGACGACCACTAACAAACCCTATACTCCTTGACCGCTTAACCGAAGGCAACCGAAGTGGAGTAAACCCTAGGAGTGAGCATGTGCGAGTGAACTTTTTTCAGTTAATTTGTCTTTGCACATTTAGCTTATCTACCATTTTAATTTTCAAATATTCTTGTCATGCAGTCCTATTAACATACATCTAACAATTAATAATTGCAGAAATTTAAAGTGCGGGAATAGAAATCCTAACTATTACATGGATTTCGCAGATACATAATTATTTAACTGAAAATAAAATGCGGCAATTAAAACCCTAATTAGAAATCTATTACAACCTAGAAACAGTTACATAAATGATAATAAAAAAGGTAATTAAAAATACGCGCGACGAGTTAAATTCGAGGACGATTAGAAAAAAACTAAAAAATCTAATTTGAGGAAAAAAACAATATTTAAGTTATTTTTGAAGCAAAATTAATTATTTACAAAACCCTAATTTCTAATTGATTTTAATTATGAAAATGCATTAAATTAACCTAATTTAAACTAAATTAATTAATTAAAGAAAATAACTATTTTATGAAAAAAATGATTTTTTGTGATTTTATGTTTTTTTGTAGTTAATAAAAAAAATTAATTTGTGAAAGTAAATAATTAAATAAAACAAAATAAATGAAAGAAATAAAAAAAAGGTTAGATTGAGCCTGTTTGCTGAAGAAAATAGGGGGGGTGCATTACTGAATTGTTGAGCCTAAGATGTGCTGAGCCCAAAGCCTTGCGCTGATCCAGTGAAGAGTCTTATTGATGGTACACCATGGTCCCTGGAAAGTGGAGTCATTGGATCTGTTGATCACGAACGTGCTTAGATCTTGTAGTTGGATGATGGAGGTGTATGGTGAACGTTGGAGATAGAAATGCATAGGATCCTGTAAAGAAGAATAAAAATAAGAAAATTGATGGGACCTGGGATCAAACCCAAGTCCTCTACCCTTTCCAACATGCCTGCTTTCCATATGTGCTACGTGATTTATTTGTTAATAAAATAACAACAACTCATAATATGTGTTAAAACGTGAGTTAGTGGACAAAACAGAAAAAGCACGCGCCGGTTTGAATGGCCCAGTGATTGGTTGCCACGTTATCACCTTCTTCCTCAGTCCATCGTTTTAGATATAATACTTATACCTAAGGACATCTCCCATAGCTACAAACCTGGAACCTTCAAAAATCAACACAACGCATGATAAATGAATTCCAGTTACATGGATCAAACCGTCTTGACGCCACGAGCATCCTAGTACCTTTTTATGTGGCCAATTTTACCTGTGTAAGAAAACCCTAAAACGACCAAATAAAACCTAACAATGGCAAACTTCAGTATGTGCGCTAAAACTTCAATTAAACCAATCCAATATGTTGCAAACATGATAACAAACACATACATACCATTAAAACATGTTTATGATGCAAGAATCATAGTAAAAAAATTATAATCGTTTAGATTTAATTTAGTAAAAAAATTTCAAAAAAATATGTGTTATCATTATTTTATTTTAGCATTTCACTTTAATTCAAAAATCAAAAAAATATATAGTTAACATCTTTTCCTTTTTATTCTTTTAGTTATTATAATTTTTACTTCTTTCTTTCAATATTAATCTTGATTTGATTCTAATTTTAATTCAATTTTTAAGTTGGGTTATTGTTAAAATTAAACTTAATTTTAATTTCTCTTTTTTATTATTGTTCTTTGGAAATTTTAGTTTAATCCTTTTCCTTTTATTATTACTAATTATTATTATTATTATTATTATTATTATTATTATTATTATTATTATCATTATTATTATTATTATTATTATTATTATTATTATTATTATTATTATGTTATCAGTAGTTTTTTTTTGTCATAATAAAAAATCAAGTTTGAGACCACTCTCTTCATGCTACAATATGTCCATATCAGTCAAAAGTATTATCCAAAATCAGTCCCAAAACAATAAAACAAAACATCTAAAAAAATGCCAAAAATATGTCCACAAGATTACTGCTATGCTGCTGTCAAACTAGTCCTGCTGCTGCCCTGCAAAAAATCCTACACCAAAACCAGTCCAAAAACCTGCTATTAACCTATCCAAATCTGCACCACATCAGTTCAACAATTGCAGAAAGATGGTTAAAAGTAAATTGCAACCAAGAAAGCATTTAAAATAGTGTTACATTTGTTCAAATCTCATCAAACTTTTCCCCCCAAATTTCATATCTTTTTCTCTATAAACTTATACCTTGTTAGACAGAAAGGGGGGGGGGGGGCAGCAAGAAATACATAAAGAAAAACACAAAAAAAACAGTAGGGGGACTAATATTAAGGAGAAAAATAACAGAGAAAAAATCTCAGAAGGAATCTCGTAGAAGCAAAAATCATAGAATCTCTGCTAAACCTCCATACACAAAATCCTCCAAAACCTTATGTTCCGCCAAACCAGCTTTAAGATATACTCCAACACAAAAATCACCTGCAACCCTTAGCTCGCTGCAGAAAAGCGCTTCTCTCCTAGATACAGATACAACCACTTCATGACTCTCAATAAATCTGCCAACCTTAAACCAAAAAAAAAACTTCAACTCACTCAACTCGTTCTAATAACCACTTTTACAATATCCAAGATTTCATTCACCTGTTAACCTTCATCTTCATTCGACATAATCGATTCATCGGTCAAAACACAAACTCATACCTATGTGTCCTCACATAACCTAACACTTAACACAATAGCTAAAAGAAGAAGAAGAATCACGGCACAATTCGACACAATAACTGATTTCAGAAGCAGAAGAAGATTAAAGAGGTACCTGAATCTGGAATCCTTGTCGGTGCCCCACACGCATACGATACACAACCATACCTGAGTCTCCCGCATCTGCATATTACTGGAGAGCAACCTCTCCGACGCATACAAAGTTTCCCCACCCGACACCGCCATGGACCAGCCACCGTCGATACATACTTTTGATCTACTTCAGCTCCAAAATCCGATATGCCATAGCTTCCATCATGGAATCATCATCGGTAACCTTTCTATTTTCTTGATGTTGATTCATGAGCTTGATTTTTGATTTGTGTTCTGTTTTTCTATGAAAGAACGTTATTGTTGTTGTTGGTTTGAGAAGCAGAAAACCAAGAAGAAGAGGAAGAGGTTGATGTTGATGATGATGAGAGAGAGGATCGCTCTTTATTTATTTTTTTGTTTCAATCTTCTTTTCCTTTATTGGTTTTACTGGAACAATAATAATATTAAATCAGCAATTTCCCTTCTCAATAACAAGCAATCCGCGGCGCCTCTTAGTACAAATTAGGGTTACAAAAACCCTTCCTTTATCTCTTCAAACGCGGGTTAATCCATGGGGCTTTTAGCCCTTTTTTTTCTAACCTTTTTTCTTTTATTTTTAGGTTAGTTAAAATGTACATATGATAGATATGTAGTATTAGCCTAATGGCAAGGTAGTTTAATTTGGGTAAGGAGACATGAGTTCAACACCCTACCAATGCATCTCTATTTTGTTTTTTTGTTGTTAATTCTTTAACCTTATCTCCCAAAAAAATTATATTGGTAAATCTTATAATTAATTTATTTTAGTCTTAAATTAGTATTAATTTAGAATTCTTTAATTAGTTTAGATTTATTTTATAACTTTAAAATGTTTAATTAGTTTAGAATCACAATTAGTAACTTTAAAATCTTTGATTTAATTTAGGTTCAATTCAATAATTTAAGAATTCTAATTTAGCAACTTTATAATTTTCATTTGATTTAGATTTAATTTAATAGCTTTAGAATTTTTATTTGATTTAGATTTAGTTTAGTAGTTTTAGAATTTTATTTGATTTAGAATTTGTTTAATAACTTTAAAATTTTTATTTGATTTAGAATTTGTTTAATAACTTTAAAATTTTTATTTGATTTAGAATTAGTAACTTTAGAATTTTTATTTGATTTAGATTTAATTTAATAGCTTTTGAATTTTTATTTGATTTAGATTTAGCTTTGTAATTTTAGAATTTTATTTGATTTAGAATTAGTTTAATAAGTTTAGAATTTTTATTTGATTTAGAATTAGTAACTTTAGCATTTTCATTTTGATTTAGATTTAATTTAATAATTCTAGAATTTTTATTCGATTTAGATTTAGTTTAGTAACTTTAGAATTTTATTTGATAACTTTAGAATTTTTATTTGATTTAGATTTAGCTTAATAACTTTAGAATTTGTATTTGATTGAGATTTAGGTTAGTACTTTTAGAATTTTATTTGATTTAGATTTAGTTTAGTAACTTCGGAGTTTTTATTTGCTTTAGATTTAATTTAGTAACCTTAAAACTTTAGTTTAGTGTAAATCTAATTCAGTAATACTAGAATTATTTTTATAGCCTTAAAATTTGTAGTCAGTTTAGAATTATTTTAGTAAGTAATTTTTAATTTAGTTCGAACAACTTCTTTAGATAATTAGTTACATTCCTTTTTATTTGTATATCTCTATCATTTTAATTTCTCGGTGCCTCTTGATCATTAATTTGTTTTTGTCAGATTTATTTTCTTGTGAATTTCTGAATGTTTATATTTTGATGTTCATTTTATTTTGCTTACTCCAAGGGAAAGAATTAAATTTGTTGACTTCACGTCATCAAATACATCTCATCCAATCGTGGGAGTACCCTCATTCATTTTTTTATTTGTTTACTATTTTGCTAAACTTAAGATAATTTTCCCAAAAGACTCCATTTTCAAACTCACACCTTTTAAGTCAAAACTTCGACACTAGGTCATCGTATCTTCAAAATCTCATTCGCACCCACTTTGACCAAACAAATCATTTTAACCAAACGAACAATTTTAAACCAAAAAATAGATATTTCAAAAGGTTCCTGCGGAGTACCGCAAATGCGTTTGGTGCTAATACCTTCCCGTTGCATAATCAACCCCCGAACTCTAGATTTCTTTCAAAAACGCATTGTATTTTCATTACTTTTAAGTATTATTTTACATTGCATATTTTAGGGTTTTATTTCGCTCTTTTCCCTTTTCCCTTGGAAATAATAAAGCGTGGTGGAGACTCTTGCTTTTGCGAGTCGAGTTAGTTAATAGCTTGATCTCTGATTTTCACCGCTATAGAATTGACGACTCTGCTGGGGAAAGATTGACCTCTTGCTGGTCCATTCCTAAGTGGATTAAGCCTAGTTTGTCTTATCTGTTTTATTGTTATTTGATTGTTTGATTATATGTATATATTGTGGTTATTTGGGTGTTAGTGATATTTATAAAGGACAAGTCCTATATCCGGACTAAGTTACACTTAGGAATAGGACGGGAGGTATAGTCATGTTAACTTTGAGGGAGTAATCCCGAAGAAGGAGGCATGAAATCCCCCACTTAGTGGAAGCCCCTTTGAACGTAGTGTTTATTTAGCGAGTAATCGGGAAGACATTATTGCTTTCGACCTGGGAGTCAGAGAAGCTAAGAACCGTAGAACCCTTAACCCATCTTGGCCTCTTAGGTGTAGTGCGGAGACTATAACGGAGTAATCCGGAAGTAGTTGTCACGCAATGCTACACTCAGACGAGTTTCTCTTGAGAATATTGCTAATTACCGAGTAATCGGGACGTTGGTAATATCCGAAGGAGGAATGTAGACTCTGGGAACTTTTAGAACCTTATTTTACAGGTGTGATTAAACCTTTAGTACATAGCTTGAGGATGGTCTTTACCTTTGACCCCACACTCGTGACGTTGAACCTTTCGACTTTGTTTGTGAGATTGCTTATGTTTGTTGCATAGACATGCCTTCATGCATCCATGAAATCTTTTTCACTTGATTTTCAAGGAATTTGGAAGTCTTTCTTTGTAAATGTCATAAGTCTCGTCAAACTCAATGGATCTTGGGTGTTGATGGGGTGGAAAACCTAATCCACCAAAATGGATGATTGATCTTGATGATAACTTGATCAATGTTTTGATCCAATTTAAAATTCATCTTCTATCTTCATACTTTGATGTTTACAACTTAATATCTTGAAAATCAAATAAAAACTCTCTTTTACATTCACATATCATGCATCATTCTACATTTTTTGTTTCACTTTCAAAGGTCATTTCCAAGTCATAATTTTTCCTTTGGTCTCACCAGTACAACACTCGCACTAAGAGGACAATGGAGAATATCAAGCAAGAGGTTTCTGAACTCTGTAGAGAGATGACTAATTTGAAAGCTAGTATGGAGCACTTAACTGTTTTGGTTGAAATTTTGGTTTCCGCCCAAGTCAATCCTTCTAGGAGGGAGGAAGCGATGATAAAAGTCTTCACTGAGACTCTAAAATCATTCTTTCATGAGAAGGTGATGATTAATGCACCCAGTGACTTTCTTGACAAGGTGAATATGGGAGTGCATCTAGAATAAAATGTTTAAAAGGGATGTTGATATGAAGATGGTGGCTCAGCTAGTGGTGTGAAGAAGCTTGATAATAACTTTTCCAAGAAGAGAGTCAGAGGAAGAAATAATCATCGCACCCGACCTCCACCGAAGGTTCCTGAGAAGATGCATTGGTATTACAAAGTTGATTTGACTTGTGCCTTTCATCAAGGTGCTCATGGGAACGACTTGGAGGGTTGCTTTGCTTCGAAGATTAAGGTTCAGAAGATGGTCATAGGTGGTATTTTATCATTTAAAGACGGCAGTCTTAACATTCAAGTCAACCCCTTTGCTAAAGCGTAAGTGAGTCTATGTTTATTTTGGCCTTGAAGTTTAGGAGAGGTTTCTTTCAGCACAAGTCCAGATGGAAAGCCTTCCCAGATTATTAACTTATTTCTGCTTTTTGTAATTTTTCTTGTTTATCAAAACATTGTTTGCATGTAAGAACTTGTTTGCATCTGAATGATTATCTTAATACAATGAGTATGTTTGTCTTGAAGAAATTCATTCGTTTCACTCATATTTTTTTTCAAATTTTAAATTTCTTTTTGCATTATGATACCAACTTGTTGCCCATTCTCCTGCCTAGGCAGAGATTGAAGAGAGGATGATGATCTAAAGAACACAAAATCTTTGGTTGTATACTTTTTGAATAAAATCTTGCTGACGATGTACATGCATTGTTTCAAATCCCTAAACACCGGAGATATAAGGAAGATAATCCCTTTCTAACCCCTTTTGAGCCTTTAAAGTAGTAGTTTCTTTTCTATACGAAAAAAACCCTCAAATTTTAACCTGGGGCAGGGTAGTTTTCAGTTAATCTGATTGAGTGTTCAAAATTCATAAGAAAGATATTTCTGAAGAGAAACTACGAGGGATATCCTTCATGTATAATAAATCCAGAAGATATGGAACCATAATGTTATCCCTCATTCATCAAGAAACGAGGCAGTCACAATCCTCTCAACACGTAAAGACAAGCTAATGTCACACATTTTGTTCAAAAGTCAAAAATCAAGAAAAAAAAGCCTGCTAAGTCGAAAACTTGAAAACGTGCGGCTTAGGCAAAAATTAGGGCATCCCACTGGACTATCAATTCAAAAGAATTAGTTCAGGCAAAAGTTAGGGAAAATAAAAATTTCAAAGAAAGGAATACAAAGAAAAGTCCTCAGCAAAGAACAAATTGGTGACTACAAACACGAAGACATAAGGGTGGTTTCTACTCCGAAAGCATCGTCGTTTCCTTAACCGTCACAAAATCCTTTTGAGAGATGAACACTCATATTGAATTAACTGAACATAGGGTTGGAGAACATCATGAAGAATGGGCGGGCACCTATAAATTTTGAGCCTTAAAAATCTTTTTTCTAAAAACCATGAACCAGGCCACGTTACAACCCTCAAAAGTCCTAATTGAAGCAAGGTTATTTTGAAAGCATACTTCAATCAGATAGTGTTCCTGACTCCCATGAATGTTTGCTAAAAAGTTATGTTGGTATCATATGCTTTTTCTATACACAAATTAATGGTGCTCTAAGTCGCAAAAATTTATGCGGTATCTTTTCAAAATCTTCAAGACTTACGTAACTGTTGCATTAGAATTTTCATTCTCATAATAAACTTTTTCTAACTGCAAAACATTTGTTTGATATTAAGGAAGCTCACATATAATCACTAGCGATGAGTTTATTCTTTTAAGGCCTAAAACTATGTTGAGTAATTGGTGAATCATTTCAAGAAAAAAATCATATCCAGGGGCATGTCACATGAAGACCTTAAGCACATACATGTTGCTTCTCCCATTTAATGCTTTCCCAACTTGTTTACCCTTTTGAGGCAAAATTTGAATACTTTGTTGTGCCAAGTACAGTCAATCCCAGGCAATCACGTCGAGATTCGACGAATTTCTCTAAGAGTTTGAAGACCCTAGAGCATGGTGGATGCCAAGTCTTTTGTAAAATCCTCTTGAGACGATTTCTTCTCATCAACCATATAGCTTGGGGCATTTTAGAAGTGAAGTTATTCGCAAGAATTGTCGCGCATCACGCAGCTTATCAGCAGTAAACTTGGGGCATCCAAAATTAGTCCCAAGGGCAATCCAAATTTGTCAAGATATGTGATATGTATTGCACACATTATCAGAGGGTGGTGTTCCCAGTATCTCCAGATTAGCAAGACTTTTTTCTAGCTGAAACATTGTTTGTGTTGTTATCCTTTCAATGGATTGTTGGTGATAGAAGACTGGACTTTGGGTTTTTCACCAAAAAATATCTTCCTCTCCAGAGATATTTAAGCCTTGTAAAAGTACTTTGCTCCAATGATGGCTTTTGTTCTATCTCTAGTAATGTTCCCATCTTGTTGAGATTAGCTGAGTGTCGGGTTGTGCTAGGACGTCTTATCATCTTCAGTCTATCTCATCTATCTATTTTGTCAGCATATACATGACATTCATTTATTCGTTCACACTTGCATCATGCACACGCATTGATATTTATTGATGTTCTTGATTCGTATACTTTGGTTATCGTATTCCCTCTTCTCAAATAGAGTGACAACTTAAGCATAAAGTGTATCCTTTCTAATTCCTCACTGAGTTTATTCCTCGTGGAAGAGTTGTTTCTTTAGCCTTCCTTTCTGTCTCAGGATAGGATAAGTCTCAGTTGAGTTTATTCCTCATCTGGTAGGGTCTTGTTTGACTGTCTCTCTCCAGTTTGTTCTTGGATTGTGTTTTGTCTATTACAAATGTTGCTTTGTGAATCTCTCTAAGCTGTGAAACTTAGATGGAGAGTGAATTGATCTTGCATATGTAAATACTTGGTCTCCTCATGAAGGATTTATTCATGGTTCCCCATTGAAGATGAACTTTATTCCCTAGTAGTGTTATCATAACCTTCTTCTGGAATATCGAGGTGACAACAAGCGACTGACTCTTTATTTGAGCAGTTTGATTATTTCTGAATTTCTTTATGTTATGACAAATGGCGGTCTCTTCATGAGCAACTTGTATGTTATTGATACCTTTGAAAAAATAGCAAGCGGCGGTCTCTTCATGAGCAACTTGTGTGTTATTGTCACCTTTGAAAAAATAGCAAGCGGCGGTCTCTTCATGAGCAACTTGTGTGTTATTGTCACCTTTGAAAAAACAGCAAGCGGCGGTCTCTTCATGAGAAACTTGTGTGTTATTGTCACCTTTGAAAAAACAGCAAGCGGCGGTCTCTTCATGAGTAACTTGTATGTTATTGTCACCTTTGAAAAAAAACAGCAAGCGGCGGTCTCTTCATGAGCAACTTGTATGTTATTGATACCTCTGAAAAATAGCAAGCGGCGGTCTCTTCATGAGCAACTTGTGTGTTATTGATGCCTTTGAAAAAACAGCAAGCGACGGTCTCTTCATGAGCAACTTGTGTGTTATTGTTACCTTTGAAAAAACAAAAAGCGGCGGTCTTTTCATGAGCAACTTGTATGTTATTTACACCTTTGAAAGATAGCAAGTGGCGGTTTCTTTATTTGAGCAGCTTGTGTATCCCCAACAATAATGTTTACTTAGCAAACGGCATCTCTTCGGAAAAGTCCCATGGGGAAGTTTGTATTTAATCCTTTTCAAGCGCTTTCTTCAGTTTGTAGACCATTCCCTATTGATTTGTCACAACAAAATCAGTTTGTAGAACAACCCCTGGTTTTGTTGTGACAATCAATAGGGAATGGTCTACAAACTGAAGAAAGCGCTTTATGGTTTGAAGCAAGCTCTTAGAGCATGGAACAAACGCAATGATGGCTTCCTAATTAATGTTAACTGCAAGAAATATGTGCCAGAACATGGTGTTTATGTGAAGTCGGATGCAAGCAAAGATATGATCATACATTGCTTATACGCAAATGATTTGTTGATCATAAGCAACATTGAGATGAGTATTTTTAAGTTTAATAGTGAACTTATGGAAGAATTCAAGATGAGTGACCTTGGCATTATGACGTACTTCCTTGGCATAGAGTTCCACAAGTAAAAAATGGGACTGCTCATGCACCAAAGAAAGTATGCACTTGAGATATTAAAGAGGTGTAATATGGAGATTTGTAATGCTCCCAATGCACCAGCTGAAGCAAGCATACATTTGTACAAAAGTGAAGAGGAGAAGAACATGGATCCTACTCAATATAGGAGATTGATTGGAGCATTACGTTACTTGTGCAATACACGTTCAGTGTTGGTATGCGAGTATATTCATGGAGAGACTCGTTGCATCTGGTTTTTAAATCAGAGTCGTCACCCTTAATTTTTATCCTAAGGAAGGGAATATAAAGGAATAACCCTAAAAAGTTAAAAGATTCTAGGCCTGACTCGGTTCTAGACGAAGGGAAGGTGTTAGGCACCCCTTGTCTACCTTGCTCACAAGGATACTAGGTTTAGAAGCGCGTTTTAGGAAATAGGGTTTTAATTTTATTAGGGAAACTCGCCACGATTTTGATCGTATGCCTATGTATCCTCTTAGGAGGAATCAGAGTCTCATTTCGTAGTTCGCAGTTTTGTTTGTGTTTTTTATTGATTACGAAATATATTTGAATTTCCCTCGTGCTTTGCCTAGGATTATGAATGGCGAAGATTTTAGACGAAGTGTGCATTCAATTAAAACATTACCGTAACCCTTTTCGAAAAGTTAATTGTTGTTTAATTTGATTAGGAAAATGATTTGGTGTTTGGTTGAATATAATATATATATATATATATATATATATATATATATATATATATATATATATATATATATATATATATATATATATATATATATATATATATATATATATATATATATATATATATATATATATATATTATATAAAAACCTTATTTAAAAATGCATGATTAAAATATATGATTTAATGCAAGAAATAAAAATATTTTTAATGAGTTGGAAAATAATATATTTGTGATATATTAATAATAATAATAAATATTAAAATATTAAATGTATATTGAAATAAGAAATATAAAAAATAATTATAAAAAATAATTAAAAAAAATAAAAAAAATGAAATAAAATGTGGGTGGTTAAAAAAATAGTTGAGGTGGTAATATAAGGTGTGTTAACAGCATGGGCAAAAATCTTGATATTGAATTTAGCCCAGCTGCGTAAGGCAGTGCAGGTTTGAATATAATAGCAAAATGGGGGGTGCGTAAGAGTAAGGGTGAGATTATGGCCCAAAAGGCCATTACAACCATTGAACCCTAATACTAATAATAATTTAAAAAAAAAAAAAAAAACAAAAACACCAACAACATCAGCAGCGGTGCCCTCAATGAAGAGGGGTTTGGTTTTTCATAAGAATTCTCCAACAAATCCATTGATGACATGTGGCGGACTTTGTTTAGAATAAAAAAATACAAACACAGCATGAGACCCAAGATCTTCCTTTTACTTCTCTTCATCGCACTATCTTCTTTCTCGATCCCTTTTCTTCTCTTTCTGAATTTCTATTTGTTCTTTTTTATTGAACCCGTCCCAAAACAACAACAAACTAAACATATACAATCCATGAGTAAAATAAAAAACCTCGGATTGCAGTCGATGGAGCGTGACGCGCCGATTCCGCTGTGATGTGCCTGCGGCGGTCTTCAGGTGCTTGCGAGAATGGAATCATGTGGCTATTATGGACAGTTCACGAGGCAGGGCCCGCGAACGTGGAAGCTAAGTCGCGGTGGTGCTATTTGAGGGCGGTGGTTGGGAAGCAGATCGCGGGTGTGTTGCGATAGAGAATGATAATTTCACAGAGGCGGCAACCTTGATGCTTGAACCAAAAGAAACAGAGGTTTTGGATCATGGTGTTTGTCGGCGTCGGGTGTGGTGTTGGAGTCACGATTTGGTACTGATGGCACAGAGGAGGATCGGTCAGAATGAAGTTGCAGATGGACACTGGTCTTCTTCTCTCCCCTTTCTGTTTTAGTAACAATTTCTCCGCCTAAAATTTTCTTTCTGTCTCTCTGTTCTCTGTTAATTCCCTCCCCCTTTCTGTATAATTCTTTTCTATTTTTTATAGTGTTTTTAGGGTAATAGTTTTAGGAAAAACAATATTATTAGGTTGTTATTGTTTTAGCAGATTTAGGAAATAGAATATTGTAACTTGATTTTTTACTTTATTAGAAACAAGATTGATTTTAATTGTATTGATTTTTTTTGTATATAAAGGTTTGACTTGTATTGATTAGTTAATTAACACAAATGTTTGTTTCTTTTTTTTGTTTAAGATCATCTGGAAAGAGTTTGAATAAGATATAGTATTATTTATAATTTGCCTATGATTTGAACAGTAGATGTTTATCAATAAAGCATGTGCTTTTTTTCTTTTTAAATCTGTACAATATTTGTTCATGTTTCTGGGCCATACGTTTTTTTCATTGTTACAGAAAGAAATTCTATTTGAACTGGGCTTAGTGTTTGGGCCTCATTTTTAATCATTACCTTTTTCTCAAAACAAAGCAAATTGATATTTAGAAGTAAGTCAAAATGAAAAGTAATAATTATAGTTGCAATATTTAAAACAACTTAGAACTTTAAAGCAAATCAAAACTCAATAGGCCTCCATATTGGGTCCATCATTAACTTGACTTGGATAGGACCTTAAAAGGGTTTGGAAGTGATCCGTATAAGAACCTTTTTTATTAACAACTTTCTTTTAAATAATAAAAAACAGAAATCAATTCATAATATAATATTTTAATTAAAATGAACATTAGCATAAAAATAATCAGTAATAACAAGTTAATACTTATAAGATAATAACAATGTTATAATAAAACAATCTAAACCAAAAAAGAAATGGGTCTAACCATTTAATTCATTGGGCTTAAAAATATATTGCTTCACATAATTTCTGACCTTATTAAAAAAACCTTAATGGGCCTTATTGAAAAGCCTTTTCGTTCACACCTCATTGGTTGAACGATACACCTCCCTCAGCTTGAAATAGACTTTTATTAAAGCCTAATGGGCCATCAGATATTGATGGTCCATTTTACATCTATACACCCCTTTTCACGTTTTACTCCCCCCATAGAAATAAGAATTAAATAATGCAACCTAATTAAAAGAAATGTAAATATAAGGGTAGGGCAAATTTGGGGCATGGCAGCTGCCCCTATTTAATGATATTTCAATTGAATAGTACGAGAATATGCAGGTCTCACACGTTCTGATCGGAAGTTTATTAAATATTGGAAGACCCCAAAATTTTCCCGAAAGACTTACAAGGATACATTATACATCATTCCCATGAGTGCGAAGAATAGATACAAATGATGATGTACCATCCTACCGGCGTTTGAACCAAATTTTTGATTTAATTAGACATGACGAGGCAGATGATTTGTCAGTATCTAAAAGAGGTTGTAGAATTTTCGCATATTTACCGTAACCTAGGAGGTAAATGGTACAAGTTTGAGAAGACGACTTACTAATGCTTGGAGACTAATATAGAAAGTTTTAATTTGATTCTGTCTATTCATCACAACCTAGGGGGTGATTAAAATAAAGCCTGGTATTACATTGCTGCCTGGAGACTGATGCAATGGCTTACGCAAATTTATTCCCATATTTATCGCAACCTAGGGGATAGATAATTAAAAAAAGCTTGATAACTACATCACTGCATGGAGCCTGAAGCGATGGGTTATATTGCAGATTTCCCACATCGTTGCATTGAGACTGACGCAATGGGTTATATCGCAGAAAAAGCTTAATAATAACATTGTTGCATGGAGACTGAGGCAATGAATTATAATGCGAATTTCACACATTGCTACATGGAGCATGACACAATGAGCTATATTGCAAAGGAAGAACATATTGTTGCGTGGGGACTGACACAATAAGTTAAATATAGAAAATTTCACACATTGACGCATATAAACTAACACAATGGGTGGAATTGCTGACTTCATAATATTTTTGTATAGGGTATGACACAATGAGCTAAATCGCAAAAAAAGAACATATTGCCGCATGGAGACTGACACAATAAGTTAAATATAGAAAATTTCACACATTATCGCATAGAGACTGACCTAATGGGTGGAATTGCTGACTTCGCAACATTGTTTCCTAGGGTCTGACACAATGAGCTAAATCACAAAGAAAGGACATATTTTTGCATGGAGACTGGCACAATACATTAAATATAGAAAATTTCACACATTGTCGCATAGAGACTAACACAATGGGTGGAATTGCTGACTTCACAACATTGCTGCCTAGGCCATGACACAATGGGCTAAATTAAAAAGAAAGAATATATTGCTGCATGGAGACTGACACATTAAGTTAAATATAGAAAACTTCACACATTATCGCATAGAGACTGACATAGTGGATGGAATTGCTTACTTCACAACATTGCTGCCTTGGGTCTGAACAATGAGCTAAATTGCAAAGAAAGAACATATTGCTGGGTGGAGACTGATACAATACATTAAATATAGAAAATTTCACGCATTGTCGCATAGAGACTGACACAATGGTTGAAATATATAGGAAGTTGTTTTTGTATGATCCACATCTTAGATAACTAAATCAGAGATGAGAATAAATTTTACTGGTTATTTGTTCCTAACCAAAGTAATAACCTGACAGAGAGCCCAAAGATATTGGTTCTGCCCAAAGCATGTTTTGAGAAGTGCCATGTATGACGTATATGCATGATGTCTTAGACTGATATGAACCCAGAGTGATATGCATTGAGTGTCTATAAATTCCCTAGACGTTTTAAATGACCTTGATACTTTGATATGGTTACGTGTACGTCATGCTTGATATGAGGCTCTTAGTGGGAAATCTACTATCGGGATTTCAAAGGAATCTACTGTCGAGATTCGATTGTGACTACATACCGCTGAAGTCTTCTGGAAAATTATCTGCCGAGATCAACAAGTGGAATCTTCTGCCGAGATTCGATTGTGAATTACCTTCTGCCGAGGTCTTCTAAATAATCATCCGTCGAGATCAACCAAGGGAATCTACTACCGAGACTCGATTGTGAACTACCTTCTGTCGAGGTCTTCTGGATAATCATTTGTCGAATTTAACCAGGGGAATCTTCTGTCGAGATTCTATTGTGAATTACCTTCTGCCAAGGTCTTCTGGATAATCATCTATTGAGAAAAACTAGGAGAATCTACTACTGAGATTTAACATAGAATTACCTTTTGCCGAGGTCTTTTGGAAAATCAATTGCCGAGATTAACCAGGGGAATCTACTACTGAGATTTGATTGAGAATTTACCTTCTGCCAAGGTCTTATGGATAATCAACTGTCATGATCAATCAGGGGAATCTACTGCCGAGATTCGTTTGTAAACTACCTTCTGCTGAGGTCTTCTAGATGATCAACTTCCATGATCAACTAGGGGAATCTACTACCGATATTCGATGTAAAATTGATAGCTTGATCGACAAGGATGATTGTCTTTACATGGAACAAGGTTCTATGCCATGCGTGTAAATTTGATTGATACATGAAATGTAACGATTGATTGATGTATGTAATAAGTGACTTGGATATGTATTGATGGATGTCATACTTTGAAATATGAATGCGTAATTGGGATTTTCGAGATATGCTCGACCTATGTTGTTGGTGTTCATCAGATGGATGAGATAAATAATATGGCTTAGTTTTTGATCGAAAAGCCCTAATGCATGATTTATGCAGCCTTATGTTTTATGATTATGGCTGAAATGGTTTTTTTGAACGGTGCCCCTATTGTGGGTCACAAATGGTTAAGACGTAGAGGTTTGCCTATGTAACAAGGTTTCTTGTCACATGATGGCAGAGTGTTGTGCTTGCATGACTTCCCGATACTCGTTTCGAATTCAGATATTGATGATGTAGAAAAGAGGTCCCTTGGAGGATTATGAAAGTATGAAGAGAGCTTGCTTTCTGTAGCCAGTCCTTCCCTAATTTGTTGGTAGGGTCTTGGAGGAGATTCTTTTTTATATGAGCTTGGAAACAGTTTGATCATAATGTGAATGACCCTACTATTTTGTATTATGCCCCTGATTAAATTTTTTTGAAAATGCTTGGCTTTGATGGACCCTTTTGCTCGAGCCTCGCAGTAGTTTTCCCCGACATTTGAATTTTGCAAGATGTGCCCCGCAGTCTCTCGGATCTGGAGGAAGTACCCTCCTAAGGAACTATAGACTTCAACATGAATTCAACATAGGTTACCCCAAGTGTTCGGAGATTGAAAAGTTTATACTTGATGTTGCTTGAAGAATTTAGATCGTACGTGCAATAGGATGAACTTGGTACGTATTGTCCCAACATTTAAATCTTGAAAGGATGCCCCTTACCATTAATGCCTTGAGAAGCTTGTTAACATGAGGAAATCGAGTCATACCTTGTTGTGATATGACTTGACTAAGGAATGTTCCTTCG